ATATATAAGTTATGCCTCATAATAAGGCTTATGCTGAGAGGGCAGCTTAGCTCAGTCAACTAATCTGGTGGTAGCCACTGTGTGTGCGCTGAACCGTGGATATATCTAGGTCCCCGGTTCAATTCCCATCACTGCCTCTCCTTGTATTTCAGCTGGAGGGCTGAAATACAAGTTACGGTATAGTACACCGTCTTTCAGATGAGATGTTTAAGTCGTTGATCCCGTGTGCATTTATGGCCCATATGCACTCTTCGGAAAAGAGTAGGGGATTGACTCCCGGTGTACTGCCCAATCACCACCAGAAGGACCCCACTGGAAGTAAGTCTTCTAGACGTTCGTGGGCTATCCTTGGTGTTCACACCGAATAAATCCAATCCAATCCAATGGGTAGTGGAGTTGTTTTTCGTTTTTTCGAAAAAAATCCTTCTCTCAAATGAATTGAACCCAGGGCCCTGGGATTGGAAGGCAAGCATCTCAACCACCAAGCTGTTCAATTCCACCCCTGCTTAAATACTTGACCAGATTACTCTTGTGTTACAGGGACTTTACCCAGCTCAATACAAGGTGAACCCCATTGTGCAACGAGGTAAGCCGGTCTCATTGGATCCACATCACACACACTTCTTGTTGGTAGATGATGGAACCAGGATGTACGGTTGTGACATTGAGTATCGTGCGAAACTAGAGCAGGCGATGAGAGCACCAAAATTTGCTCAAAATGAACTTGGTAATATTTATGGGTTATTTTTGTCTTATTTAAAAAGTAATTTTTAAGGTCTAGTGTTATCGGATGTATTAACAGAATTTAGTAACTCTAAAGAAATAGAAACAAATCAAATTCTTAAGAGTCTTTCCAGCTAAATGCAATGCAGATCGTGTGTCTTAGCAAAAGAGAAATTACATTTTAATTATTAGACAGTAATTGGCATTGTTTTATTGAGTAACAATCAAATGTAAAGGATTATGTGTTATTATTGACATTTTCAAAACCACCTTGTTATCCTACAGAGACTGGCTTAGGAATACCGGTGGTGAAAGTGTGCCTGGAGGGTGGTATGGACACCATCCTTGCCACAAAAGAGGCTGTTCTACTCAAGACTCCAGTTGTCTTTTGTGAGGGAACCGGACGAGCAGCCGACTTGCTTGCTTTTGCTAACAATAATTGTGTTATCATTGAGTAAGTTTGATAGAATAATTAAATATTGATTGGTGGTTGAGATGCTCACCGCCAGTGTCCGGAGTTCAAATCCTTCAAAAGACAAGAATTTTGCTCAAATATCTAATTTACACTCGAGACAACGTTTTACACAGGATGTGTCCTAAGTGTTACACAGACTTCTGCGGTATTCCTACGGAAATCACAGTTTTTTACACACAAGTGAATCTTACCTATGCAAAAATTTGGTTCAATTGATATGCACACAGTAAATATACATGCAGAGTCACAGTGAAAAAAAAAGCTGGGTCATATTATGAGCATTTGCATCATTGTTAATATTGTTATGTTAGACAATTGTTATTGTTATTATGATAATGATTGTGGTGATTGTGATGATGATGATGATAATAGTGGTAATGATAATGAATAGTAATGATAATTGTTATTGTTGTTATTATTATGGTTATATGAATAATTATAACTATTATTGAATGTTAATGATAATAATTACAACAGTATGCAGCTTTTCAGTGTGTTTTTGTTTTTATTGTGTGAAGGTTTTTTTTTATTTGATTGTGTTCTTGTGACAAGCAAGGGACTTATTAACTCTACCATGTGCCATGTGCAACATTTTAGTCTTGTGTAAGTTGGCTAAATACAGCTTAATAATTTTTCATCTTTTTTTTTTTTCTCATTTATATAGTGGAGTGAGGAAAATCAAACCTTCTTTGCAGAGTACTGTTTATGGAAAGATACACAGTGTGTGTCGCATAAGTGAAAATGATCATATGATACCAAGGCTAATAGAAGCTATCAATGTTATAATGCAACATGAATCAATGGTGAGCTATACCCTTTGTATGATCACTACAATGAGTGTGATGATTACACTATGGTAATTGATCATTAACTAAGCTATTCTTGTGACCACAGCTTGCAGTTTTCTAGTTAGCATGATCCAGGGGCGGATTTAGGAGGGGCCGAGCCCCCCCCCCCCCTTGGATAGTTAAAAAAAGGGGAAAAAAAGAAAGAAAAAAAAAAAAAAA